TCCACCCATAATGATGCTGCCTATTGGTCCAGTGGTAAGAATCTTTGCCTTCTTGATATTGAGATGCAATCCATACCAAAGGCTGAATTCTTTGATTTTCTGCAACAAGTGTTTCAAGTCCTCCTCACTTTCAGCAAGCAAGGTTGTGTACTCTGCATAACGCAGGTTACTGATGAGTCTCGCTCCAATCCTGAATTCCTTGGAGTAGTTAAACAAGTGAAATGTGTGCATATACACTAGAACATCCATATAGTATGCAGGCCACAACCCCAGAGAACCTCATTTTACAATGGATTGGCTGGTCTTACCAAATCACATCATTCCATTAGTTAATGGAAAAACAATCAGATCTAAGCTGTCAAGCTACTAATAATGCTAATCAGGCTGACATATATTAACAATCACACTGTCACTGATTGCCTTCAAGTAGAGCACAACACATAGTGACCCTATGAACAAAGGGCCTGAAGCTACTCTACAACTATTGACATTTATCAAAGTTCATAGAGTATCTGCAGGCAAGTTGTTTAGGAAGTGGATGCCACTCCTGCTTCCAAACCTGTAATAGTATGTTATTGTTGTTATGTGCCATTGAGTCACTTGCAATGTATACCCTATGTATAGCAACTCTGAACCCTTCCCTATGCTGAGCCAGTCTCACCAATTCCAACACACCAACCTCATTTCCCTAGTTACTGCATCAATCCATCTCATTCGGGGTCTCCCTCTCCTGCGCTGTCCCTCCACCCTTCCAAGCATGATGTCCTTCTCCAAGGACCTATCTCACCGGCCATGTGTCCAAAGTAAGTGAAGCAGTGTCAAAATCCTAACCTCTAAGAATAATTTGGTTTTACCCTCTCCAAGACAGACCTATTTGTTTTCTTGGCAGTCTATGGTTCAAGACTCTTCTCTGGCACCACAACTCGAAAGCATCTATTCATCTTCTGTCATCTTTAGTCACTGTCCAACTCTCTGAAACATAACAAGTAATTGAGAAGACCATGGCCTGGATTAGGTGCACCTTTGTGTCCAGACTGACACTGTTGCTCTTCAGCACTCTGGAGAGGTCCATGACAGCAGATTTTCCCAATGCAATTTGTCTTTTGATTTCCTGACTGCTGTTGATTTGGATCCAAACAAGCTGTAATTGCTAATTTCAATCTCTTCTCCATCTATCATGGTGCTGCCAATTGGCCCATTGGTGAGAATCTTTGACTTCTTGATGTTGAGCTTCAATCTATATCGAAGACTACAGTCCTTGACCTTTTGCAGTAAGTGCTTCGAGTCTTTTTCAGTTTCAGCAAGCAAGGTGTGTCATCTGCATATCATAGGTTTTTGATGAGTCTTCCTCCATTCTTGATGCCACACTCCTCATAAAGCCCTGCTTCCCAAAAGATCTGTTCTTCAGATTGAAAAGGTAAGGGGACAGGATGCATTCCTGATGCACTCCTCTCCTATTTTGAACCACGCAATGTTTCCTTGCTCCGTTCTGAGGACTGCTTCTTGGTCCAAGCATACGTTTTGAATAAGCACAAACAAGTGTCCTGGGATTCCCATTTTCCTCAAGGTTAGCCCCAATTTGTTGTGATCCACATAGTCAAAAGTCTTTGCATAGTCAATGAAACACAGATAGACATTCTCTGGTACTCTCTGCTTTCTGCCAAGATCCATCTGACATTGGCAATAATGTCTCTAGTGCCACGACCTCTTGTAAATCCAGCTTGTATTTCTGGTAGTTCTCTGTCAATGTACTGTTCCAATTGTTTTTTGGATAATCTTCAGCAGGATTTTACTAGTGTGTGATATCAGTCATAGTCCCTTAATTGTGTAAATGGTTAAGAACCTAACAGTCATTGCTGTTATGTGTCATGGAGTCTTGTATGACCATAGCAATCCTATGACAACAGATCTGAACTCTGTTCTATCTTGTGCCATCTCTTCATCTCTGATACACTTGAGTCCACTGCTGCCATCACTATCAATCCATCTCATTGAGGGTCTTCCTCTCTTCTGCTGACCCTCTACTTTTCTAAGCATGATATTCCTTTCCAAGGAACAGCCCAAAATATGTATTATAATGTATATATTATGCATATATTTTAACATGTCCATAATATTTGAGATGAAGCTTTGCTATCTTTGCCTCTAAGGAGCACTCTGGCTGCATTTTCTTTAAGACATACCTGTTTGGTCTTTTTACAGTCCATGAGTCAGCACTCCTCCCCAAACCATAACTCAAAAGCGTCAATTCTTCTGTTATCCATATTCATTACCCAGCAAGTGTTTGAAAAGACAATAGCCTGAAACAGGTGCACTTCAGCCTTTAAACTGACATACTTTAAACTTGACATACTTCTCTTCCCCCCCCCCCCAGTACTTTGCACAGGTCTTTGACAGATTTTCCCATTGCAACACATCTTTGATTTCTTGACTGCTTGTGTTAAGGGTGCTGATTGTGACTTCAGTAAGACAAAACTGTTGACAATTTCAAGCTTTTCTCGATCTATCATGATGTTGTGTATTGGCCTGGTAGTAAGGAATTTTTGTCTTAATGTTGAGAATTAATCTATACTGAAGGCTTTAGTCTTTGATCTTCCACAGCGTTTCAAGTCCTCCTTACTTTGAGCAAGCAAGGCTGTGTCATCTGCACAATGGAGGTTATTGATGAGTCTTTCTCTGATCTTGACTGATGCCCTATTCTTCTGCAAGTCCAACTTCTCGAATAGTTTGTTAATGATACAGCCATGACACACACTTTTCTTTATTTTAAACCACATCGTGTTCCCTTGAACTGTTTGGACAACAGTTTCTTGGCATAAATATAGGTTAAATGTTCTGGGGTTTCTATTCTTTTCAATGTTAACCATAGTTTATTACAATTCACACAGTCAAATGTCTGTGTATAGGCAACATAAATTGGTGTTTTAGCATTCTCTGCTTTCTGTTAAGATCTATCTAACATCAGCAGTAATATCTCTAGGGCCATGGCCTCTTCTAAACTCAGCCTGAACTTCTGGAAGTTATGTCAATGTCTGTTCTAGCTGTTTTCAGAAGATCTTTAGAAATATTTTGCTTGTATATGATATTGTTTGATAATTTCCACATCCAATTGGATCACCTTTCTTGGGAATGGGAATAAATATTGATCTCTTCCAGTCAGGGGGCTAGGTAGCGGTCTTCTATATTTCCTTGCATAGACTGATGAGCACATCCAGGGGTGCATCTGTTAGTTGAAACATGCCAATTGGTATTCCATCATTTCTTGGGGCCTTATATTTTTGCCAATGCCTTCAATGCAGCTGGTACTTCTTCATTACTATTACCTCTTGTTCATATGGTACTTCCTATTTCAGCATCAACCAATGTCTGGTATAGTGACTTTGTATATTCCTTCCATCTTCTTATAATGCTTTCTTGATCATTCAAGAATTTGCCCATAGAATCTCTATGTATTGCAACTAAAGCTTGACTTTTTTCTTTCATATTTCAGCTTGAGAAATGCCGAGTGAGCTCTTTACTTTCTATTCTGACACCGGCTCTTTGCACATTCTGTTAAAAATACTGTGTCTTTGTGAAATGCCCTTTGAGATTTTTCTGTTCATCATTTCTACTTCTGCATCTCTTCTCTTTGTTTTGGCTTCTTGACCCTTTAGTACAACGTTCAGACTCTTCTGACATATGTGTTGGTCTTTTCTTTCTCCACTGCTTATGTAATGACCTTCTGCTGTCTTCATGGAGCATATTCTTGAGGTCCCCCCACAGTGCAAGTGGCCTTCTATCATCACTCAACATGCCAAAACAATTCTTGAGATGATTTTTTATTTCAGGTGGGATAGATGAGGGTCATAGTTTGGTTCTGTGGACTTTACTCTTTTTCAGCTTCAGTTTGAACTTACACAAGCAATTGGTGATCTGTTCCACTGTCAACACCTGGCTTAGTTTTGACTGTTGATATAGAGCTTCTCCAATGATTCTTTACACAGATTTAGTCAATCTGATTTCTGTGCAGTTCTGCCTGGGCTACTGGAAAGTTTGGCTTTTCAAACTTTCCCAGAAGTACCTCAAAGACAGGCTTGGTGATCTGCTGCTTAAAAACAGTCACAGCCTTGACCTCTGGACCACTGGAACACAGCCCAAAGCCTATGGAACAGTCATAATCTGCACACACAGAGCCAATCAAGACTGGGTGGACAGCAACTAACAACAGTAAAGAAATTGCATTTGGGGTTCTCTGTCTTATATTCCTACCCACATATTCCTGCCACCATGGTAGAAAAGCAAGGCAGAAACTGTTTGAGAAGATGGATTTTTATTTCTTAAAAAAAAAGAAAAATAAATAAATAAAATGAACACATTGGCTCTAGGATTTTCTGCTTGTTTTGTCTCTCCCTCCAAGAACAGAAGCAATACTGAAGGGAGAAAGTCTGACGTGTGAGTGGCTGGACAGGCTCGGGGAACGGCAAGTACAACTTGTCTCAACCCAAGCTGTTGTGTAGTAGGAACCATCTTCAAAGAAGGCCTGACATTCCTGGGATCTCCTTGGAGCCCTCACAGCTCTGTCTTCACCTTGTGCATCAAATCTTTTTGGTCAATCTTGTCTAGGTCCTGGTACCAGCGGTTGTACGCCAGCAGGGCCACATTCTTGGCAGCAACAGCCATTATCTCTACGGAGCTGGCTGCCCACTCCAGGGCATTGAGGTAGAAGAGCTGGTCATGGAGTGCGAACCTTGGGAGGGTGCTGCGGGAGCCATAGAGCGGGTGGGCCTGCCATTCAGCAGTCTGGACTGAGTAATAGGATCGGAAGAGGGTCTTCAGCTGGGTCCGAATGAGGGGCTTAGGGGACTGCACTCTCCAGACGGCTGCTTCCTGAGGCTGTTTCCGCCTGAAGTTGGTTGAGATGTTGACAGGACAGATGTTGTCCAGAGCACAGAAGAAGTTGGGGAAATCAGTAGTAAGGATGCTGGCAAAGGGGAAGAGTTTAGGGTCAGGGAAGCCGAAGTAGGAAGAGTTGAGGTATCCGTGGACCAAGGAGACAACGGTGGGCTGAAAAGTGCCTTGGATATCATCGATGGGTGGGCTGAAACCTTCGAAGGTGAGATTACGGCTGCTGTTGTCCAGGTGCAGGGGGCTGGCAATGATCACTATGTCATAGAAGTCAGAGCCATGGCCCCCCTCATTCTCATATCCGACCTGGTACAGAGCTTTCCCTTCTGGAAGAGACAAGAAATTACACAAGTCAACTTCTCCTTGCTTTCTGTCTACTGACCTCCCATGTGATACTTATACTGCCACCATGAGAGTGTAAGACCAGGCCACGCTGGCAGAAAGGGTGCAGCTGGGTCTGAAAGGTGATCCCCGTTTCTCAGGCAGCCGCAGGGGATAGCAGTGACTTGGAGTCAGGAGATTCGGCTCTTGTTCTGGTCTTGCTGCTGACTAGCTGGGGGGAGCCTGGCCAATGACATCATTCAGAGTTTGCTGCTGAAGTCTCAGGTTTCTGGCTCTGATGTTGAATAGGGACAACAGTGCCCTCTGGTGTCACACAGCAGTGCTGGGGTTCCCTGTTGTTTCCTCCCTTCATTCTTTCTTTCCCCCTCAAACTTCTAAAGATATTACAAATCAAGGTTCAGGGCCAGAGATGATGGGAGTGTGGACTTGTAGGAATGGAACGGCCATCCCTCTTGCTCTGTCCGCTCACCTGTACTATGCAGGATCACAGAGGTCACGGTGGCATGGATCACGTTGGCCTTGGTGAGCCTCAGCAAACCAGAACAAACCAGCTTGTTGCCTCCTTCTACAGACCACAGGCTGCCTTGAGCCCCAGCCAGTGACATGGCTCCTGGGTAAAAGAGGAAGCAAAGCTGGTATGTTCTTAAAACCACCAAACAGTGGGACCGGAGAGCCCAGCAGCTGCCCCTGGCCTCCCTTCCAGGGCAAAGTTCCTCTCGACTACAGGCAGCGAGAGGTAACAACCACACAAATATACTACTATGAATAAAAAAATTATTATGTTTAGTGATGAAGCTAGTCACAAAAGATCACATACTATTTGCCCCAGAAGAGGCAAATTCCAGAAGTAGGTTAGGAGTTACTTTGGGCTGAAGGGTTGAGAGAGGATTAGGGGCGAATGCCTTAATGGGATGGAGTGTCTTTTGGGGTGATGAAATGATTTAAATTGACTGTATGCTGGTTGTACAACTTGGCCCGTGTTCTAAGAACCACTGCACATATTAATTGGATCAATTGTACAATATGGGAATTACAGCTTAATGAAGCTGTATGGGGGGAAAATGCCATGGCAGTTACAAATAAGACACTAGAAGAATAAGCAGGGCAGCCACGCCGAGAGGACCTGAAGGGTGAGAGGACGTCAAGCAGGCCAGAAGACAGGGAAATGGTGTCTTGGAGACAAGGGAGGTGCTTATTAAATGCAAATCTTTTTATTCATTTATTCAACTTATTGAGTGTTTACTGTGATGGTCTTGTCACAGTTCTAAGTGGCTGAACAAGGAAACATTGATTCTTGCTCCTGTGAGGCTTACACTGTTGTGAGAAGAGATGAAAAAGTAAAGGTTGGCTAGAAAGTAATGTCTGGTGTGGGGAGAAAAAGAAAAGAAGCAGGTCAAGGACAGGAGGAGTGGTAAGGCCTAAATCAAACTGTAGTTAAGGAAGCTTCGATGAAAGGCAGCATCTGAGCAAAGACGTGATGGAGGAGCAAGAGTTTACTGGGACTAAGTCTGGGGAAGGGGGGTCGTGGTGGTTCAGTGTTAGCATTCTCACCTTCCATGCAAAAAACCTGGGTTCAATTCCTGGTCAATGCATCTCAGGAACAGCCCTCACCCATCTGTCAGAGGAGGGTGTTGCTATGATACTGAATCATCAGTAAGTGGTGTTTCCTGACTGAAATGGACCAGGAAGAACGGTCTGGTGTTGAACCTCTGAGAACCAGCTAATGATCTGGATCACAGTGTTCTCTTGTGCTCAGGGTTGCCTCAAGCCAGAATTAACAGTTTGGTTACTTTGGCAGGGAAGGACAGGGGAACACGCCTGGAATGTTCCAGACACAGTAAAAGGCCAGGGAGCTCAACTGATACGAACAAGCAAGCTAGGCGATGGGGACAAGATTGTGGAGGGTCTTGGAGGCCACTAGCAGGAATGAGTTGGGTGTTTACTTGAATGAAAGTGAAAGCCATTACTGTTCCATGCACAAGCAAGATACATGAGTGGCCTTGTTTTAACAAGAGCATTTGCCGATATGTTGCATAACAGTTTGAAAGGTTAAAGTAGAGGTGTAGGCAGAGCTGCCGGAGATCCTTAGTAGTCTGGATGACAGATGCTGGAGGCTTAGATCAGAAGGAAGTAGTGGTGAGAAGCAGTGGATTCTGGATCTACCCTGAAGTTAAAGCAGATGGACTTTCTGATGGACTCCATGTAAGATATGAGAGAAATATAGGAGGTAAGGTTTTGACTGCTGTAACACACAGGAAAGAAGTGTTTATCGACTAAGCTAGGGTAGAAAGACTGGGGGAGGGGCAGGTCTGAGGGGAAAGGCAGGGAGCTCGGTTTGGATGGACCAAATCTGTGATACCCATTGGACCTCCCAGTACAGGGGTGCTCGCTGACACAGGAGGCTGAGTTCCAGAAGGAGGTCTGGGGACCATTGTGAAGTCTTGAGGTTTCATGAGATTGCCAAGGGGGCTCATGCAGTTGAGAGGGGGCCAAGGACGTAGTGTGAGTGAAGAGAAGGAAGCAAATCAGAAGGCTGGGAGGAGGTCAGGGGGCACCTGTGCACTTCCTTGGTTTAATAAAATCCTACCTTCTAAGGCCCACAATAGTCTCCATCCCTTGGGGAAGATCTGCCCTAGCTCCTCCAAGCATATTTAGCTGTGACCCCTCTCAGTGGCCTGTGCTGGAGGACAGGGGGTTGTACATGGTCCCTGACACAGTAAGAAACTGGGAAGAGTAGGTCTTCCAGTGGATGGGTACCAAGGACCAGAGGCCTCATAGAGGCTACTTTGAAATCAAAGAATAGGATAACAGAGAATCATCTATCACACAGAAGGAAATACACACACACACACACACACACACACACACACACACGATAATTGGGCACCAGGTGGCTGACACACTCAGGAGCAGTGACCTGAGGTGAAGGAGGGTGAACACCAACTCATGATGATTTAAGAGGACTGATGTCAGCAGCAGATGAGCCTAGGGCAACAAAGTGCTCAGGTGACGAGCTGGATAGGTGTGATATTGGGGACCCCAGCTTGTCCTAAGCACACAAGTAGGCTGAGGGTGACAGGTAGAGAGTAGTGGCTTACCAGCAAAAGCAGGCATTGCCGCCGACTGGCCATAGCTGGCCCTTAGGACGGCAGAGACCACGTCATCGATGAAGCGCTGTGTGACGCCCACCTGGAGCAGGGACTCAGCCACGGACCGCTGGGTCATATTGACGAAGGCGGACTCCCCCAGAGAGTAGAGCAGCTCCTCCACACCTGAGAAGGCGTAGCCGTGGGCCTGGTACTTATAGATCCTGGGAGACACACAGAGCTGGAGCTATGTGCAGGAAGGCTGGGCCCCTATATTATGGGAAACCTGTTAGGATTCTGCCACCTCTTCTGCATGCAGAGGGGAAAAGGGAGGTGCTGGCTGGCATCCTCTGGCTGTGGTGGTGCAGAGGTAAGGAAGAACATGGCTCTGCTAGAATTGGCTTCCTATCTGGCCCTGTGGAATGGCAAGTACCTCACCTCTCTGAGCCACGGCCTGCCTGCAGCTGTCCTGAGCCTCACACTTGCTAAGACTACAGGCACTGGAAAAGGCTGGCACATCCTTTCTCCAATAGTTTCAACTCTGCCTTGGCTTTTAGGATCATGGGACCTGATGATAGCCGTCTCACACTAATATTGTCACATTCTTTCTTAAACCAATCTGTCCTCTCTGTGGGTCCAACAGGTCTTCTACTCATTCTCTGAATCTCATCCCTCCCTAACTCACTCAACCTCGGAGGCTGGCACTTGTCTTGGCACCGTGGGCCAATGGACTCCCGATTGGCTGACCTTTGGGGTGCTGCCTATTCTGGGTCTGCTTTGCACATATGTTGTGTTTGAGCTGTGAACAGGACACTCAGGTGGAGAAATCTAGAAAGTGGTTAAAACGCAGGTCTGCAAGCTAAAGAGAAACTGGCGCTTGAGAGGAAGGAGTTATTTTCCACAAGTGGAAGATGTGAGCATTTTAAGTCTAGTTAAAATTGACAAGGGAGAGAAATATACTAAAGCAGAAAAAAATGAGCTCAGGGATAGAATCTTTAGGGGTATCTGGAGAAGAAAGGAAGAGTCATACAAAGAATGCTGTTAGGCCCCATCGAGTGGAGTACAATTCAGAGCAACCCTAGAAACACTAGACCTGAACCTGTCCTATGCTGCGCCATCCACGTTGTCCCTGACACACTTGAGCCCATCACTGCAGGCACTGGGTCAAACTATCTCAGCAAAGGCCTTCTCTTTCCCTGATGGGGGTGGGGGGTTGGAAGAATGTACAGAAGTGCTGGAAACTATGGAAGGAGGGTGGAGGTCATGTTTGAGTGTTTGACACTGAACAGAAAGAAGAAGACGCTGAGAGAGAAGCTTCTGTATACCCAGGAAACAATCAGAACCATGGGGTGGGACTATTAACAAAAAATGGGGTGAAGAGCTTGGTAAGTGATGGGACATAGTGCCAACAGCTGGCTTAACCTTGCTATTTGGATATGATGACTACATGGCTGAGGTCCCTGGAGGAGAGCAGTGTTAAGGAAAGGCAACTGTGCTATGTGAAAAGACCAGGGTACAACAACAGAATTGTACGAGGTACAACCTGGTGGTCTGCAGGCTGCATCTGGTTTCACATGTGTCTCATTCGGCTTGCAAAGACGAATGCACTTACCCACACTGAAAAACTGGGAGCTTTCACATGCAAATCTGGACTTCTAGTTCTTCTGAAAGACTCGAGCTATTCTCTGAGGTTGATATTCCTGCATCATCACAGATGGTTATATTGGTCCCTGTAATTGGTCTGTTTTTCAGGGGACCCTGATCGTCACTCTTCCCCCTTCTCTCTCGTCTAAGCTTCTTCACTTGTTAATGCTTCAGTTCAGCAACTGGGTTTATAAGCCACACCTCCATCAGGTTAACAGAGGAAAAGAATATGCCAGAGTGACAAAATCTGATAGTCCCTACTCTAGATAAGTCCTCTCCTCATGCTGAGAGCTTGCTGTGGGCCTGCCCAGGGATTATGCTGGGCTCTCACCTCATGAACTTCTCCATGACCTCCTCCACCCACATCTGCAGCCTCAGGAAGCTGATGCCGTAGTGCCACCAGAGGCGGAAGAGGTTCAGCAGATACCAGTCGGTCTCCTCCAGCACGAAATGCTCCCCGCCAAAGATGGCGCTCCTGCCCACCACCTCGCGCCGGTGCCTCAGTCCTGAGGAGACATGAGGAACCACTCAAGTTTCTGTCAAAAGTTCCCCCACTCCAGATACCTGGCAAGACCTTCCTGTTGAAACTCGGGTCTTCCTATAGGATGCAAGTGGACTGATTCCATGAAAGAAAACACATTTCTACATGGTTCATCTGTGCTGCTTATTTATAAATAGTAAACAAATACACTGGGAAAATATTTGCTTTGCTATTTGTTACAGAAATGAAAATGAAAATAATAGTACTGTTCTATAGTTTTTCAACAGTGATCCACTTATCCGTGAGTAAGGGAAATTCAAGTGCCATCCCAGAATTCCAAGGTTTGCTTTGAGGAGGCCCTGGTCACCAAGACTAAAAGGGAGAGACTTACAGTTCCACCCAACTGTGCACCCTGCATGATAAACAGAGCAGGGCTCATGCCATCCCATGTCAACCTCTACCAGCCTTGGATGAGGCAGATGTCACACTACTCCCAAGTAAATATAGGAAAAGCAAAGCTGAGAGGGTATATGACTATGACTTGCTCCAAATCACAGATCTTTTCTGTTTGTTTGTTTGTTTCTTTCCCTTCCTGAGCTACTAAGTTCCCTTGCCCAGAGACAATCATGAAGTCTACTTCTAGAGCATCTTTTCAGGGGTATTTTGTATACACGCTCATAAATACATACATACAGATACACACATAAAATTTTTCTCTTTCTACTCCTATGTACCATAAATGCTATTTTATACCTTCAGAATACTACACTGTGTCTCAGGGATTGTTCTGTATCTGGATTTAAAGGGTGTCCTCATTCTCGCTGCAGAATGGTCTACTGTATGATATTCCATAATTTCTTTAACTCCAGTCTCCATGGGATGGGCAAATAGGATATTTTCAATTTTCAGCTATTAGAAACAATGCTGTTATGCATAATCTTAGAAAAATACCACTTTGCATAAGTGCTAGTGTATTTGTGGGGCTGCTTCTGAGAAGTGCAATTTCTGGGTCAAATTGTGTGCATATACGTAGATCTGAAAGATGTTCTGGGGTTTGAATCCCAGCTTCTCACTTACTAACTGCATGGCCTTGGCCAAGGTATGCACATTTTCTGAGCCTCATTTCCCTTAGTGGGGAATAACTTCCACACTGAGGACTGTAAGGAAGATAAGCGGTAATGGCCATATACCAGCTAAAAGGGTGCCAGTTATCTGGCCAGCAGGTGGCATATAAAAGCCACATGGTATAATGCTATTGAAAGGGAAAGAAACTAGTCTGGGAATCAAATCTGGGTTCTAATCCCAGGTCTGCAACTAACTCACTGTGCGACCTCAGGCAAGTTCTTTTCCCTCTCTGGTCTCAGCTTGCTCCACCTGTAAAATGAGGAGATTGGACTACATGACCTTCTGGCTGTGGCCATCCAGGCGGTCTGGCAACAGGCTGCTATCAGCCCCAAGGAGCAGGGCACTGGGGCCTGGACCACACACTCACCCAGCAGCTTGACAAAGTCCTGCATGTGCAGGCTCAGAGAGTGGAAGGAGGCGGCCCCGCTCTCGTAGTGCTGCTTGTTGACGGAGATGGTGGCCAGGCGGCCGCCCACGGTGCCCTGTTCATACACATCGATCTGCACTCGGGGTCCAAAGTGCTGCTGGAGGAAATGGGCCACGGCAGAGCCCCCGATTCCAGCTCCTATCACAGCTGTCAACAGGCCCAGGAGGAAAGAGAGATGATGGAAGTTAAGAGACTGGGGGTGACATCCAAGTTATCCTCACCTGGTGAACATTCATCTCACAGGCTTACAATTATTTAGAAAGAGATCTGCAGACTGAGGTTTTGAGCAACTGAATTTTCCATAATAAATTACAAAGGCTAACTTAAAATGGCTCCTTCTATAACCCTCACTTTATAAAGAGAAACCTGAGCAGCAAATGAGCAGAAAAGAACCTCAAAATTCAAGATAGTCAGTTGAAGAGAACAGATTCCGTTTTACACAAAACTCACTAAATAAAGCCCATGTTTGTTTTTTTTATCGCGATCTGGTACAAACTTTGTTTCCGGTCAGTACTCTTTGATGGGTCACTTTGGAAACCTCTTCTTCACCCTACCCCCCTCACACTACCCTAAACACGTGCAAAAGCCAACAAGGCACCAAACCCATGGACTGAGTCAGTTCTGACTCATGATGACCCCGTGTGTTAGAACCCAGCTGAATTACACTGGTTTCCTTGGCTGTAGTCTCTATGGAAGCAGCTGTCTAGGTGTTTCTTCCTCAGTGCTGCAGTGCAAACTGATAAGGAGCTGAGAGCAAACCATTTGCGCCAGCCTGGGATATCTCACACTCCTTCATCCAAGGGTCAGCAAACTAGATGACCAAGTCCAGAGGCCAAATCCAGCCAGATGCCTGCTTTTCTTAAGTCTTACTAGAACACAGCTGTGGCTTTCCTTGTACTTACTCTTTATGGGAACATCACTGCTGGGCAAAGGGCAGCTGTGACAGAGACTGGATGGCCTGCAAAGCTGCAACTATTAACTGTCTAGGCCTTTACAGAAAAGAAAAAAGGAACTCTGACAGTGCTGTGATTACACGGTGTGCTGTCACTGAGAGAGCCAGTGATTCGAATCCACCAGCTCCTCTGAGAGAAACAGATGAGCAGTTTTCTCTCTTAAAGAAACCAAACTGAAGGTTGAAAACTCCTATAAGCTAGACTAAATGTCATAGCAGTAGGTGTGATTTTGATTAAAGAAAAAGTCTGCTAACCACTTGGCTAGTCCAACATAGCACCTGACGTTGAAATAATGTCTACATCTGTGTGGGCCAAGGCTGGAACATATTCTGGGATGGGCTGTGCACTACCTTTTTGGCAGTCTATCAGAATATGGACTCTTCTTATGAAGTTTCAGCTTGTTGGGGGTCTTCTCTGAGTTCTAGTCACTGTCCTCCCTTTCTGTTCCCTGAAAACTTGGTTGTTATGCCACACCTGATGAAAATTAGGACTTAACCTATTGCCCTGGGAAAATCTGTTGCCAAGGACCTATGCAAAGTGCTAAGGCGTACTGATGTCAGTTTAAAGACTAAGGTGCACCTCATCCAACCCATGGTCTTTTCAATGGCTTGCTATGCATCTGACAGTTGGACAATGGCTAAGAATGACAGAATAATCAATGACTTCGAGTTGTGGTACTGGGGAAGAGTACTGAATAGTCCATGGACTGCCAAAAGAGTAAACACATCCTGGGAAAACTGCAACCAGGGTGCTCCTTAGAGGTGAGAATGACAAACCTCACATACTTTGGACATGTTGCTAGAAGGGACCAGTCCTTGGAAAAGGACACTATGCTTGGAAAGGTGGAAAGTCAGAGAAAGGTAAGAAGACCTTTAACAAGGTGGACTGAAATGGTGACTTAAACAATGTACTGGAATATGTAAGAGGTGGCAGGACGGCACAGGGCAGCACAAAGTTCAGATGAGCTGTTTAGGTTGACTGGCAGCACTCTAACAGTAACACTGTCATCCAACTCACTGATTAGAGCACCTCAACGGACAGGATTCTGACCCTCAGCTCTGAGAACCAGTGCATGCACAATTAATTGTTGTTGTTAAGTGTCGCCAAGTCACAGCCAACTCACTCATAGTGACTCTATGAACAAAAGTCCTCGACACTTGTGTGACTTTCATCCTTGCTCCAGATTCATAGGGTTTCCAGAAGCAAGCTATTTACGGAAGTGGATGCCACTCCTGCTTCCAAGCTTGTTTTAAACAGCGAGCACCACCAAACACTGTCCACCGTGGATAACCATTATTGCATTTGACACGTCGGTGTCACAGTGTTTGGCTTCACAGCGGCCACAAGTTAACCTCTGTACAGCAAGTGGACATTCCAGGGCTATATGACCTAGAAGAAGGTTTCACCAAAAACAATTAAAAACAGGCCTTAGGGCCACGGATTAGAGTCACCCACCTTTGGCTTGGTAGCATCACTTTCGGTCCACTAGGCCAACTGGTCTCTATGTTGTTAAGTGCTGTCGAGTCCTAGGTGACTCATAGTGACCCCACTGTGTGACTTTCATCCTTCTTGCTCCAGGTTCATAGGGTTTCTGGAGGCAAGCTATTTATGGAAGTGGATGCCACTCCTGCTTCCAAGGCACAATTAATTACTAAACATTAATACTTAAAGGTGCTATGGGCAGAATATTGAATGACCTAAGCATCATCAAGAGAAGTAGGAAGGAATATACAGTCGCTACACCAAATTGTTCTGTGTTTGGCTGACACAGAACAATTTCAGAACAATTTCATGAAATGGCATAAGATCAAAAAGCAATGGTAATAAAAGAGGAAGTTCAAGTTGCTCTGAAGGAACTTGCAAAGAACAAGGCCCCATGAATTGATGGAATACCAAGTGACACATTTCAACAAACAGATGCTGCCTTGGATGCACTCACCAGGTTGTGCCAAGAAAGCTGGAGGACAGCTACCTGACTAACTGACTGGAAGAGATGCAGATTTATCCCCATTTCTAAAAAAGGTGATCCAACAGAGTAAGGAAATTACAGAACATTATCACTAATATCATAGGCAAGTCTTGCTGAGGATGATCTAAAAACGACTACAATAGTACAAGGAGAACTGCCAGAAATACAAATTGGGTTTAGAAGAGGCCATGGCTTTAAAATATCATTGCTGATTTCAGATAAATCATTTCTGAAACTAGAGAGTACCAGAATTATGTTTACTTTTGTTTTATCAACATTGCCAACACATTTGACTATGTAGATCACAAAACAATTATGGCTAACATTAAGAAGAATGGGAATCCCAGAACACTTGACCTTGCTCATGCAAAATCTTTACCTAGACCAGGAAGCTGTTGTCCAAACAGAGCAAGGGAGCAGCACTGCATGGTTCAAAATCAAGAAAGTACAACAGAGATGTACTTTACCATACCTTTCCAATCTATAGATCATTCGGGAGGCTGGCATCAGGCTTGGAGGAAGACTCATCAGCAACCTGTGTTCTACAGACGACACAACCTTGCTCGCTGAAGCTGAGGACTTGAAGCATTTGCTGCTGAATATCAAGAACTGTAGTCTTCAATATGACTGCATCTCAACATCAAGAAAATGATTCTGATCACTGGGCCAATTGACAGCATCATGATAGATGGAGAAGAGATTGAGGTTGTTAACAATTTCATCTTGCTCAGATTCATAATTAACAATCTTGGCACCAGCAGTCAGGAAATAAAAGACAAGTTGCTTTAGGAAAGTCTGCTGTCAGGGACCTCTCCAGAGTGCTTAAGATCAATGATGTCAGTCTAGAGACTGAGGTGCACCTGATCCAGGCATTACTTGCTATGCATCTGAGAGCTAGACAATGACAAGGATGACAAAATAAGAAACAATGCCTTTGAGTTGTGGTGCTACAAAAGAATACCGAATATACTATGGTCTGCCAAGAGAACAAATAGGTCTGTCCTGGAGAGGGTGAAACCAAGTTGCTCCTTAGAGGCTAGGATTTTGAAACACTGTCTCACATACTGTGGCCACATTGCCAGAAGAAGGGGCCAGTCGTTGGAGAAGGACATCATGCTTGGAAGGGTGGAGGGTCAGAGCAGGAGAGGAAGACCTTGGATGAGATGGTTTGACACAGTGACTGTGGCAATGGGCAAATGTATCACAAACAGTAAGTTTGACAGGATAGGGCAGGGTTCTGGGTACTGTTCACAGACTCACTATGAGCTGTAGTAGACTTGAAAGCACATAACAGCCCCAAGAATTTTAAAGAACAGAAAACCATCCATGAGACAACTGAGAGACGATTACTGTGTCCACAATTAGTATTTACCACGATTCTGAGACACAGCATTTTCCTTAGCTGAGAGTCTAGTAACCCAGTTTAAAGAGAAAATGAGCTAAGTCTGGTTTTGTCTGAATGGGCCCACAATATGCCAGAGACCAGCAAATCATTGAGTAGTGACAGCTTTGTGATCTGGCCTTCATCTATTTATCTCACACCTTTACCACCCCCAGCACTTCACCTTTTCACTGACTCCACCTGAGATGAGTCAGATGGTCTTGTGTACTTGCCCTGACCACACCCTACTCAAATGGTTTGTTCAAGCAAATCCCTGCAAGCACGACAGCTCTCAATCCTGGTCGCGGTGGAGCTCAGGAAGTGCCTGATGAATACTAAAAGGATAAGCCACTTTCTCCATCTCATCACTGACAAAGCCATTTATTTCCAAGAATGTCCTTAAACTGCTGTCTGGCTACTTTTACTAATGTATGTATGAGAGTACAACTCCTCCGCACACAAATAAAACCTAAAAGAAAAAAACCCCAACAAAAAGTAAAACACTGGTGGGGAGAAAAGTGCAATAATGAATGAATGGAATTCAGGAATTCAGGAAGGAAGGAAGGAAGGAATTCAGGAAGGAAGGAAGGAAGGAATTCAGGAATTCAGGAAGGAAGGAAGGAACAAATAAATAAAAGTACACCACCAAGAACACTCGAGCTCATCACTGTCAAGTCAGAACAGGCTCACAGCTCAAAACCCAGTGGGTTTTTGAGGCTGTAAATTACATGAAGGAAATGGTCCATCTTTCTAGAGAGGTGTTATCTTTGGGTTAGCAATGAAATTACCAAAAGACTATAGGAATATGCCAAAGATCTCAAACAAGAGTCATAAATAAAGTAATTCCTGCCCCCACCCCAAAGAAGCTGAGATCACAAAGCCTGAAAGAAGTTTTCAGTTCAGTGTGCACTGGCCCATTCAACATGTCTGATACCCACTATGATCCTGGGGAACAAAGGTGGCTTAAATAGTGCTTCTGTTTCCCAGGAATGCACACAGGATGTGGGCGACTTGTGCAATTTACCTATGACAATCTGTGATGGAGTTCAGTAGCAGAGCCCCAGGGAATCCTGAAAATTAATTAATTCTGCCTAAAATTGTGTAAGGACAAAGGTTTCACAGGAAGTAACATCTGAACAAGACTCTGATGGACACTATGTCTTTTGCCAGTGAGAAGAAACATATTCTCCACAGAGAACCACAGGAGCAAGGGAAGCATGCAGAGTTAACTGTGGGTCGGCATCAAGGGCCTGGATGTTATAATTCAGTTGTTCAGACCTGATTGTGCAGGAGCCCAAAGTTCAAAATCCCCCTCACAGGAAGCTTCTAATTTTTGTCATGTTGTTAGGTGCTGCTGAAGTCGAGTACAGCTCACCAAGGCCCACTGACAATGGATCTGAACTCTGCCCTATCCTGTGCCATCATCATCGTCAATGATGTACTTGACCCATCCCTGTAGTCATTTTGTCAATTAATCTTGTTGAGAGCCTTCCTCTCTTTCACTGACCCTCCACTTTTTCAAGCATGATGTCCCTTTCCATACAAGGGCCCTTTCTAACAACATGCCCAAAGTATGAGACAAAGTTTTGCCACTCTTGCCTCTAAGAAGCACTCTGATTGTACTTTGTCTAAGGCATACTTGTTTGTTTTTTGGCAGTTGATGAGATGTCCAACATCACGATCAAAGGCATTGATTCTTTTTCTGTCATCCTTCTTTACTGAATTCTTTTTCCATACCTATTCAATCCATATGCTGAGCAAAACATTCAAACTGAACTTCATGAAGAAGAATGTGGCATCAGGATAGGAGGAAGACTGATTAACAACCTACATTAAGCAGGTGACATAACCTTCCTTGGTTGTGAGGAGAACGTGAAGCCCTTGCTGCAGAAGATCAAAAACTACAGACTTCAATATGGATTCTCTCTTAACATCAAGGAAAAAAAAATCATTACCACTTGGCCAACAGGCAACATCATGATAGACGGAGAAAAACCTAAAATTGTCAATTATCTCATCTTACTTGGGCTCACAATTCACATTCTTGGTACCAACAGTAAATAAATCAAAAGATGTATTACACTGGAAAAGTCTGCTGTCAAGAACCTCTCTGAAGTTCTAAGGAGCAATGAAGTTTCCACTGTGGATAGAGTCCAAACCAAAAATAAAGAACAGAGGCTGAGGAAAATCAAGAAAGCTAAAGGGCAGCTTACCATTGCTAAGTGCCCTGCCCTGGGTGACTCCGGGTGAGGTGCGAGGCCAGCTGGAATGAGGCTGTAAGTCCAGCGTTACCAATGAAAATTCTGTTGGGAGGAGGTCCTGCACGTCTATTGATGGTAAAGGTAAAGGTTCCTGTCCTAAAGTCTGTTCCCATAGGTCAGGGGTAAAACTGGACTCCTGCACAGTCTCTGCCAGAGACAAGTAAAACATTAATGACTCCTAGCCTTCAAAGCCTCACTCTAAAATCAACATCCATGGAAGTAGCAGTCAGCAAGTCAAATGGCAGCACTGGGAAAATCTGCTGCAAAAGACCTCTTTAACATGTAAAATAGCAACAATGTGACTTAGAAGACTAAGGTGTGTCTGACACAAGTAATAGTATGTTCAACTGCCTCCTGTATGGGAGTGCTGCACAGTGGATAAGCAAGACTGAAGAACTGATGCCCTTGTACTACGGTGCTGCTGAGGAATACGGAACATACTACGGACAGCCACGATGTCTTGGGTGGACAGACAGTTAGCTGCTCTTTAGAAGCAGATGGTGAAACATGGTCTCACACACTTTGAATATATTACCAGGTAGGTCTTAGTCCTTGGAGAAGAATATCACACTTGGTAAAGCAGAGGATCATCAAAAAAGAGTAGACTTTCAATGAGCTGATCTGACACAGTGACTGCAACAATGGGCTAAAACACAAATATGAAGATATTGATGGCAAAGAACTAACTGTGCAGTGTTTCATTCTGTTGCAAATAGGGCCCCATGAGTCTGAACCAACTCAAGAGTACCTGACAACAGTATGAAGTATTAGATGGAGTACCCTGATTTATGCAATACACATTGAAATATATCAAAATAAGTCAGATCAGATGGATTAAAAAAAAAACATGAAGACGTGATATATGACATGAGAATAACTTGCTAATGGTAGTGACGAACACTGTAAAGAGCTTTTAACTTCGCTGCACATTTGAAATTTTAAAAATAAGTTACTGGCAAAACCACACCACTAAGAAACAAAATGATAAAATGATTATATTTCCCACTGTCATTCTGCAAATCTTTCTTCCACAGCCCTACCTCAGGTTGTGTCTCTGGTTCAGACTCTCTCTTACTCTTCAGAGGAGTCAGTTTACTGCTTTGAGGAAGTGCTCCTGAGTTCTCAAAGCCTTAGGTAAAGCACCTCTCTTGGTATTCAGGGTACTTTCTGGGTCACACCATGCAACTCCCTGTACTCAATCACCCATCCCAGGGTCGAACTATGGAATGTTATGCTTGTTATACAGTTGATTTTCAATAAAGCTTTGTGAAAGATATCGCCCAGACTCTGTCCTCTCTGCCACTGGCACCAACTAAGCTGCCTGATCATATTGCAAGCCGCATATGATCAATACATGAAACCTATGGCCGGTCCTACCTTTTCCTGGAAAAGTCCCTTTTCCGTCCCAGGTGGATCTCTGCACATCCCCATGCCTCCCGTTCCAGCTTCCCTCCCCTAACCTCACCCCCAATTCTCTCCCTCTTCCCCACTCACCGAGCTCCCTCCCGAGAACCCCTCCCACGCCCAGCTGCCCTCCCCTTCCCCCACTCAGCTGCTTCTGGCTGAGAATCCTTTTTCTGCCCAGCCCTCCCAGCAAATTCCATCCCTTCTTTCCCGCACCGATTTTGCCGGGCGGGGCGTCCCCGCCTGCAGCAGCAGCAGCAGCGGCAAGAAGCGCGACCAGGACGGCGAGCAGCCCTGCAGCGCGGGCCATGGCGGGAGGTGAGTGGGTAGGCTGGCCAGAGCTCGCGCTCGCTGGTTGGCAATCAGCTCACCGCCCCGCCCCGGGGTCCCGTTCCGCCTTCCAGACTCTCAACTCGCAGCCTCTCATTGGACGAGCAGCCGTCCCTCTCCGTAACGGCGTCTTCATTAGCTACATCTCTCGCCGGGAAGGATTTATCATTGGCAGCTTCTTCGTCCCGCCTCCTGGATACAGGCTCTTCATTGGCTAGCTTGTCTTAGCTCCGGTGCAGGTGTGCGCGCTTCGGGTCCACAGCATCAGGACCAGGGCTCAGCTGCTGAGAGGAGGAGAAGCTATTGAAGAGTGGGTCCTAAGTCCAATTAGGAAAGTTTATACTTCTGTAATATGCGTTCTCAGTGTCTCACTCAGTTTTCTTTCTTGTAAAACAGCAATCTTTGCTTTAGCTATTAGGATGGCTGTGATGATCACGTGATGCCAGAGCATATGTAACTTACGCTGTGTGGGCAAGTGCTGGAAATTGCTGATCACGCATAACCGCAGCATGGCGAAGCACTGCCCAATGCATATACTGAGACAAACCTAGATCATTTTGAGGCTGCAGTTAGTTATGCGTGTATATGCGTTCAATGTATAGTTTTTAAATCTATTTTCTACTTGATAAATGTGGAAGTTTGTCACCCACCAACTTCCCAAAGGGGAAGAAAAGAAAGAAGCCGATGACAACTTCCTATCCCCATTATCTAAAAAACAGGGAAGCCTAAGTGTAAGACGTTGCGCTACAATCCCAAAGGCATGAAGGTGAAACCCACTACCAGCTGTTCTGCTGGGGAAGGATGGGCAATGTTCCATACGATTGATTGCCTCTGAAAACCCGCTGGATGATCAGCTATGGGTTGGTTCCGACTCATTGGCACACACCAACTGGTAGCCTAATGAGTAGGAAGGTGTGCTGCACAACGCAAATGCTTCCTCCGGAGAAAGATGGGCAGGCTCCCCTGTGACTTACAGCCTCTGAAAACTCACTGGAGCGCCAGCTATGCGTTTGGTTCAATACAAGAAAACAAACGCAGCTCAGTGTTCCATACCATAAGGGACAGACAACTGTAGCAGAAAAAAAAAAAAACCAAAAAAAAAAACCCAACCCTGGTGATTAAGTTTCATGGGAAATGTGAAAAATCTGCAGTCATTCAAATTATAGCTAAGAAACTAAAGGGATGGAGAGTAAAAGCTTATGGTTCTAAGTGTTCTGAGTGTCAAACTATCAGGGCCAAACTCAATTATGACTAGTAAATTAGTACAGTTTGTACTAAGAGGACTTTACAGCTGGACTTCTGACCATCTTCCAAATTTGATGACTGGCAGTTAACCTGGTTCTGGCCTCTTCTGTTAAGCGCCTTTCCCCTCTTTTTTTCATTATTTGTGGTTGCATATTTTCCTCCCTTTCAACCCCAGTTCACTCAAAACAAAACAACTCATTCACTGTTGCGTGATTTCTCCCTCCGCCCTATCCCTCCCCCAGTTCATTTTGCTATGCAACTCTTATTCTGACTGTTGTCATACACATAACGCCTAAACATGCATTTCTTTGGTTCTGGCCCCTTCTGTTATGTGCCCTTTCCCTCTTTTTTGACTCCTTGGTCTTTTATCCTAGCTTTTCGGCCTGCTTTCAAGTATCCATTCTACTTGCTGAATGACCCTCTTTCATTAGGCCTTGCATTTTGATGATTGCTCTAAGTCTGTGAGTACACTCTGGTTCCATAATACATAGTTACACATATTTTCAGTTGGTCAATACACTACTTATTCCTAGCCACTTAAGACTTTGTCCACACTCTCATGTTCACTGTGGTACTTTTAAAACAGGAGCTTGAAAAACAAAACAAAACAAAACAAAACCCCAGGAGCTTGACATAATCCTCTTTTTATTCATCTTCCCTGTTTCCCTGCAGCCATAAAGGCAGAACTGTGTAGTTTCAGCCTGTACAAGATATACCCTAGGTATAGGAGGCACTATGCCAGGAGCGATGGAAGGGTGTTGGTGTTCCTGTTTCTGAATTCAAAATGCAAGTTGGCAATCCTTTCCAAAAGGAACCCAGAGCAGATAAACCGGACTGTTCCTTACAGAAGCAAGCACAAAAAGGGCCAATTTAAATAAATGCAAAAGAAAAACCAGCTGTGCAGTCAAATTCGAGGCCCCTCACTGGTGCATCTTGCTGATTTAATGGCCTAGAGGAATAAAAAACCTGAAGTTAGAAAGGTTCAACGAGAACTGGCTATGAGGGCTACCAAGGAAACAAAAAGGCGAAACAAGCTTCTGAGAAGACCGCCACGGACCTCTAAGTCTCCCACATAAGCAGCGCCTACACAAAAACTGTGAAGCCTGTGAACGTTTCTACTCCCCGAGTTGGTGGAAAATGCCAAGTTGGCAGGTGAAAATTTTAAATAAAGATCTAATTATTTAAAAAAACACAACAATCAACAAACAATAAAACCCCAGGATCTCTGCATTTTTTCATTTCTCATTGTGAGGGCTGGGCTGCTGTCAAATCTCAGGGTACCCCCAGTCAGCACCATCAGGGTAGGTGGCAATTGATGAACTGACCCTATCAAGCCAGTGTAAAGTATGAACTAGGCAGACAAAGACAATGAGTCAGTTATTTCAATTCAGGTTTTATTAAAGTTGATTTTTAAACATTTTATTTCATCCAGTTTTCTCCTTTTGCTTTTTCCCCTTATCAAATACTTTAACATGAATGAGGGTACCAAATAACTATCAAACAGACTGATTCCTTTATGTAGTGAGGATATAGCAATAAAAGATATAATCCAAGTACTAGAACCCTAGGATTTCCACTACAGCCAAAGCTTCCTCATATTATCAACTGCATGCCAATAAACCTTTTCACTTTACCATCAAGATGAAAACAAAGAGCACTGACGTTTTTCATACTCCTTCAGTATGAAAACAGGGATAACTGTTATTATTCAAAACAAACATAAACTCACTGAAACCTCAAGGGAAAGTAAGTTACTGTGACTGACTCATTTCCATAATAATCTTAACCAGTCTTCTGTCTTCCTAGACTTCAGGTAGCTATAAAACAATGTGTAAAATAAAAAAATAAATATTTATTGAGGGCCTACTGTAGTAAGCAATTTACATGTTTCACAAAAATGAGAAAAATTATAACCATTCACAGATAAGGAGACAGATTAAAAAATGTGAAATGACTGGGATTTAAAGTCACATGTAGGCGACAAAGCTGAGACTTGGGTTCAAGTCTGTCACAAAGCCTATGCTTTCTATAACACAGCTCTGCCTTCCAAAAACCCTTTTGGTTCTCAAGGTTCTTAACGCAGTGCTTTGTTTTTTAGATTTCAAGTCTATGGAACAAAATATTTTTAAGTTCTTCTCAATCTACTTGCAGAAATGAGAGATTAGAGAGTGGGATGTGGGGAAGAATATTAGAAAACTCTTGAGGTAATCAGACCATTCTGCAGCGGGTGCTTTTTTAAAAATT